GTCAAATACGTAACAGTCTTGTATGTAACGTAGTTACGTTACGGACTTAGCAATAGCTTTACGAATTTGACAAAAATGTTAAATAAAAGACCAGTTTATTAATTAGATAATTAAAAATTTACGTATTAGAAATCTTTATTTTAAACCATAAGTATAGTTGTTATTTTAAACCATGAATATATTTTTTTTAAGCCATCATTTATTAGTTCTGTTTTGTTGCTAAGCTAATAATATTAAAGAACTGATATTATACTTGCTTCTATCAGAGATCTGATTTACAATTTTGGAAAAGAAGACAAAGTTAAACAAGGAAAGACAACCGAAATCCAGAGCTAAAATATGAAATAATCCTGCAAAATTCGAAGATTATAAGAAGAAGGAACAAGAGCGTCAAATGCAAAAAAGAAAAACTACAAATCCAAAGAGTGAACGTAGGCAGCGACGTCAATGGAAACAATGGTGAGAAGCTCAGCAGCGCAGTAGAGCAAATGCAAAATCACAATTGTCATCGGTAAATGATTTATGTATAGAATCTTTACCAGATACATCATTTCCTTCATTACCTAATTCATCAACTCCAAACTACAATTAAACATTAGCGTATCGACTGATAAACAAGCTACGAGCGAAGTTAATGAAGCTAACCAAGAAAGCCAATAAATAATGAAAGTGAGTAAAAAGGTTAAGTAAGAAAGCATTAAACACTAACACGCCACGCAGCAAAATAAGAAACATGATGCAAGATTTGAATGGGCGCCCTGAAATCAGAAGAGCAATTCTGTTTCATTATATTTAATGTAATACCCCTTACGCGAGAAGTTTTCAGCAACCAAATCAGACAGAGAAAGATTTGTCACCGCAAAAATAATTACATCTAAACTGACGAAGAAGTAAAAACTAAGGAAAACATTTCAAGATATTACTGGCACTCTACAGTTTCGTTATGGATCTGTTGCATTTTATGAAAGAAGCTATAACAGTAGGATAACTACCAGCAAGAGAGACAAAAAAGACAACGAAAACTTTTGCTAAGTACACATTCAGACCTGCACAAAAAGTTTGCTGTAAAAAACCTAAAATTAAAAGTGTTATATGCTACACATTGTGCTTGGAGACCATTTTGGGTGGTAACTCCAACTGCACGTGACAGAGAAACGTGTCTCTGCAAGCTGAATGAAAATGGACGACTTATTATTAACAAGCTTGCTCATCTGAAGATCCTGCCGTCAAATTGCATGACTTAGTAATTGTGTAAAAAAAAAAAAATAGTATGCAATAATATGCAAAAAGAGTGCTTTTTGAGAACCTGTGAAACATGTTGCTTAAAAGATAAAGAATTACTGGAAAGAGAGTTTGGTGGAGAACAACTATGCAAATGACAGCAATGGAACACAATTTAGGAAAACAGACTGATTAATTTTGAAAGAGCCGTTCAGTCATCGCACTTTGGTGCTCCAACAATCAATTATCCCACACACCGATGTTGGATACATGAAAAAAGAAATTGTATCATTTTGCACAGCGTCAGATATCAGAAAGCATGAGCCCTCTGCAATACGGGTTCATTTGCTGCCAGTTCTGCGTCACTTTAAAAAAAATTATCCAACACATACAACAATAAATTTTTGAAGTTATGGGCCACAAACACAGTTTAGGAACAAACATCATATGCTGTTAACTTGTCATTATTTATACGATGAAAGATTTACAGGTGGCACCTGGAATTACTTTAAAACTGGCCGTACCAAGAGCGTAGCAGATGCAATCGGAGGCACTCTGAAAACTTTATTTTCAAAATTAAATGAAAAAAATGAAATTAAGTTTTTTAGGTTATTGTACACACATAGGAGTTAGTTAAAAAGAAAACAAAAGTATTACTGCTAAAGTTTTATGCAGTTTATCTTTAGTGAAAGTAGTCTTTTTAAAACGCGGCTAATTTTGGAAATATTCATAAAGGCAATAGATACCATAAAGAAGCTATCAAACAATCTAATATTATTTGTTGTCGTTTTAAAGAACCATTCCATTACAAAGCGATAGCACTTTTAAAAACCGACAATAAATGTACTCGGACATTGTTGAAACATTAGGTAGAATAGTGGATTTGATGGGGAAACTAGGATTTAAATTTCGCGCAACTTATAAAAAGTGTATGGAAAACTAAGACTAAAAAGGTAATCCTGGTTATTTTCATACAATTGTGCAAGAATAAGCTCGCCATAAGGCTGAACTTAATGCGCATATACAAACACCATTACGCAAAGATGTCAGCTACCTTGACGTCAACAGTCAAAATGAATTAATTCATACAATTGTAAAGAAATGTTTACAAGTGTGACTAATTAATGAAATCAAATGTGCAAATTACCATTCAATTTCAGCAGATGAGGTAACAACTGCAAACCAACAAAATTTATTAATATGTTTGAGATACGTAAACGGAGAAAAAGATATTAGAGAAGCATTATTTAATTTTTTTAATTTTGACATGAGAACAGTA